ATATAATAATATACTATTAACTAAGTTATATATATAATATATATGTTATATATATAATGTATATATTATATATGTATATAATATATATATTATATATTAATATTAGTATATATATGTATTGATAGGTATATATTAATAATTAATATATGTATATATACCATACACTATATAGAGATATAATATATATAATATTACCTATTACATATATATATATATGATACTAATATGTAAATATTATAATGTAATATATATATATATTATAATAATATATTATTCAATGTATTAATATAATAGTATATTATAATATTAATTAATATAATGTTAATAATATATATAAAATATATATATAAATAATATTATATATAATAATATGTTATTTATATTAATAATATGTAAAATATATATTATAAATATTAATATTAATTAATAGATTATATATAATATAACATACATGTAATTAAATGTATCTATAAATAAGTAATATATTATATATAAATAACAAATGAATATATATATATATATGTATATTAATATATGTATTATATAATAGTATATGTATATTAATTAATATATATGTATAAATTAATATAATATTTGTATATATGTATATATATGTATTATATATATAATATTAATATAGTATATATATAAAATATAAATTTTATTTAAATAATGGAATAGATATATATATATATATTAATAATAATTAATAAATATATATATATATATTAATAATAACATCATAGTATACTAATATATAAAATATAATATATATATTAATATAATAATATATATATATTATATAATATATATATATTATATTATACACATAATATATATATATATATATATTAATTAATTATAAATATATATATAATATATATCAAATATGTATATATATATAAATAATTATACATTATAAAGTATTATATATACGATAATAAAGTATATATTAATTATATTATATATATATAATAATAATATTAATATATATATAATAATATATAAAATTAAAATATATATATATATTATATAAATAAATATATTATATATAAAATAAATATTATATATATATAATAATATATATATTATGATAATGTATATTATATTATAAAATATAAATATAGTATATATATAAATATAAATATATATATATAATATATAATAAAATAATATATAAATATATAATAAAATATATTAATATAATATATAAATATATATATATAAATAAAAAATATTATTAATATATATAGTTAATTATCAAATAATAAAATTATAATAATAATTATTAATATTAATATATTATATATATATATATATTATATATTAATGTATATATATAAATTAGTTTATAATATATAATATATATATGTATAATATATATATATATTATATTAATAATAAGATATATATATAATATATATATATATTATATAATACATAATATATATATATATATATAGTATTATAATAATATACCATATGTATAATTATCCATAATGTATTATATATAATTAATATATATATATAATATAATTAAATATATAATAGTACATTAATATATATATATAATGATCAACTATATATATATATTATATATATAATACCAATATAGTATATATGCTATTATATAATGTAATATGTATATTAATTATATTATATATATATATATATATATATTAATATTATATATATATAATATAATATTATATATATAAATATATTATATATCCAATATATATATACATATAATTATATATGATATATATTATTTAAATTATATGGTATAAAACATATATATAATATTATATAAATATAGAATAATACATATAATAACCATATATATGATACTAAATATATATATATATTAATTATATATGAATAAATAATATATATATATAATTAATTAATGTATAAAATATATATTATTAAACATTTATTATCCATATAATGTAAATATAACTATTAATACATTATATATATAATATACATATGAATATATATATATATTAATATACATTATTATATATATATGAATATTAATATACATATATATGAATTAATACATATATTAATAGTATATCTATATATAATATTCATATTACCAATGGTAAATATATATATTCATAATATTATATATTAACATGAATATTAATTAATATATATAATGTATAAATAATATATATATTATATATATATATATTATATCATATTAATTAATATATATATATATATACCTATATATATATAATATATATTAATAATTAATATATATGTATATATTAATAATAATGATATTAAATAATGTAAACATATATATACAATATATATACCATGAATATAATATATATAGAATATTATATATTATATAGATCTTAACTAATATATTAATATTATATATATATATATATATATATATATATATATATATATATAATATATATATATATATATATATATATAATACATATATATTAATATATATATATATATATTAATA